CTGCTGCTGGGCGCGCTGGCCCTGAGCCGCTGCCAGGTAAGCGGCCTCCCCGCTTTGAGGTTCGGCCGTGGGAGGGGGCCTGCGGGACCCCTGAACAGCGCCAGGGGACCGGGGGGCTGGGAGGGAGCCGGAGTCCCGCGGGTCCCATCCACGGAAGGGCCGGACCCTCCGGGGAACAGGACAGGGGAGCCCGGGGAGCCCGCACTTGCAGGCCAGGGGGAAGGAGCCGCGGGCCGCCCGGCTGCTGTCGGTCACCTGATACGCGGAGCTTGCTGAGTCGACCCATTTCTCAGCTCTGGAGACCTATGGTCTCCCAGTTGAGGGCTAGTTAGATGTGATGGGGGGTGAGGAGGGAGCTGTAGTCAAGGGTGAGTTTTGGGATCGAGTCCCGTTTGTGCACACCCCGAGGTCCCAGGGACATGGGACCTTTGGCGACCTTTCCCTCTTTCCCTATCTTTTCCAGGACAGCCATGACCTTCCTCCAGTATCTGGTGCATGTGAGTATCCACCCCTTGCACAATAATATCTGGCTGCACAAACATCTTGGAGAAGCCTCAGGAGACGGCCCTTCCCTGTCCCTGATGCCGGGCGGGCTGGCTCCCCCCTTGTCTCCTCCCTTGCTCTTTGCTTAGCCACCCCCACCTTTGTGTTTTTCAGCAAACTGTGTCTGTCTGAATGGAGGTACCTGTGTGTCCTACAAGTACTTCTCCCACATTCAGCGATGCAACTGCCCAAAGAAATTCAGTGGAGAACACTGTGAAATAGGTATGGAGATCCTCACGCTGACGGAGAGGAGGGGGCTCAAGAGATTTGGGGGCAGGGAGAGATGAGTAGGATGGAAGAGCAGGCAGGGGTTCGGAGCTGGAAGGTGGAGTGGGGGACGTCAGCCCTACGTAATGGGCTAGACACGGTCACACACATGAACGCACATTGCCTCGTGAAGCTGTGGCTGCACAAATGTGAGGTGGGTCGGGAGGAGGCCCCTTCTAGTGTCTTCTGCCCGGCCTGACTTCACGTGAGGCCTGGCGGGATCTCTAAAATGCCTGTCTGAGCATCCGCTTTTTGATATTCTCTCATCCTCACACCCTTCCATAGATAAATCGGCAACCTGCTATGAGGGAAACGGTCACTCTTACCGAGGGAAGGCCAACACCGACCACAAGCGCCGGCCCTGCCTGGCCTGGAACTCTGCCAGTGTCCTTCAGGAAACGTACCATGCCCGAAGACCTGACGCCCTCCAGCTGGGCCTGGGGAAACACAATTACTGCAGGTGAGGTGTGGGACCTTCCCCGTGGCCTCCCAGAAGCCCTCATGAACGTTCCCCTCTGCTTCCAGAGTGCTGACCATAACATGAGAGCAGCAAGGCCTCTGGTTGAGTCTTTCTTGGAAGTGAGGACGCGGGAAGGACATTCTGTGCTGAAGTGACACCCCTCTCCCTTCTGTGTTGCCAGGAACCCAGACAACCGGGGAAGGCCCTGGTGCTATGTGGAGGTTGACGGAAGTCAGCGCGTCCAAGAGTGCATGGTGCGCGACTGCTCTTTTGGTGAGTGTCACCACCCTGTTTATGATAGTGGGTGAAAGCGGACAAACTCATATGTGCCCTTATTCCATCATGGGAGGGCTGAGGCCTGAGGCCTGCCTGGCCCCCAAAAACTGGGAGGTCAGAGGATGAGGAGAGGGGCCCTTTCTCCGACCTGTCTTCCCAAGACACCCCTCGCTTTCTCCTCCAGGAAAAAATGCTCACTCTCCTGAAAAAGCAGCGTTTCAGTGTGGTCAGAAGGCTCTGAGGCCCCGCTTTAAGATTGTTGGGGGAAAAGTCACCGACATTGAGAACCAGCCTTGGTTTGCTGCCATCTACAGGAGGCACCGTGGAGGTTCTACCACCTACGTGTGTGGTGGCAGCCTCATCAGTCCTTGCTGGGTGGTCAGTGCCACACACTGTTTCATGTAAGTCCCTCTGTCTCTGCTCTCTGACCCTCCTGCTCTACCCCAAACACATACCTTTCTCCTTCCCAGCAAAGGATTTCCCTTCAACTCTACCCTTTCAGCCCTTCCTTTGCACCCATACCCTTGGGGACAAGTCATGCTCTGAGGTCACTGTGGTGGGGAGGGGGAAGTGATAGGATCTCATGAGAACAGACTGTCTTATCGGTCTTCCTTCCCACAGTAATTACCCAAGGAAGGAGAACTACATTGTCTACCTGGGTCGGTCAAAGCTTAACTCCCATACCCCGGGGGAGATGAAGTTTGAGGTGGAAAATCTCATCCTGCATGAGGACTATAGCGCTGACACGCTTGCTCACCACAATGATATAGGTGAGTGGAAAGCCCTCATCTGCTGTCGTGATGATGGCCGGGAGGGGTTCAAAAGGAGACTCAAGTGGGAGGTCGAGGTTGTAGGGGAACATGAAGACCCTACTTTACACCACGAAGGGAGAAGTGGGGAAGGGTTCAGAGTGATGTCCATACATGAGGGGCTTGGTGCTCCCCTGTGGAGTCCCCGAATTTCCAAACAGGTAGCTTTCTCTGGGTGGCAGTGGCCCTGTGGGAAGTGGCTTGGGCTGGGGTGCCCCTTCTTTTGTTGGATGCAGACTCTGTCTGTCCCAGGAGATAGAACTTTGAGAGAATGTTGGGCTATATTGCAGCCCAGCTACCTCAGCCAGGGCTTTTTGTAGAAAAAACCTCATACAGTTATATGCAGTAGCTCTGGCTGTCCAGGCCTTTGTCAGCAGCTGGAACAAAGCCCATGAGGCACAGGACAGGGGAGGCTTGTTTCATCCTACCAGCACTCCTCCCAGGATGACCTCTGACCCTAACTGACCCAGGGATAGACAGCTGATCCCTCAACCTTTGGAGGGCAGAGATGGTGACCACCTGACCAGGTGGTGGTCTTTCCCCTCTGACCTCTTCCCCCTCCCCCAGCCTTGCTGAAGATCGTTTCCAGCTCGGGCCAGTGTGCGCAGCCATCCCGGTCCATACAAACCATCTGCTTGCCCCCAAAATATGGAGATGCTAATTTTGGCGCAAGCTGTGAGGTCACTGGCTTTGGAAAAGAGAGTACCTGTAAGTGACCATTGGGGCTAGCTGAGGGGTCCTGGGGGAGTGTGGTCACCTGGAAGTGAGCTCAGCTTGGTTAAGGGAGGGCCATAAAGATAGAGATAAGAGCACTGTGGAGGTAGCAGATGGGTCCAGGGATGGAGTAGAGAGCATTGTTTAGGGAATGATGGACCATAAAGGTAAATAAGTGGAGGGTGAGGGGTTAGCTGGGGTAAAAACTCAGATTTGGGTGGAAAAAGAATAGGGGCTTTCCCTGGTAGTAATACTTCTTGGTCCCCTCCCTGGCAGAGAGTCCCAGCGGAAAGGCTGGGCAGACGCAACGTAAATCCTCATGTTTCTTCCATCTAGCCGACTATCTCTATCAAGAGGAGCTGAAAATGACCGCTGTGAGGCTGGTTTCCCACTGGGAGTGTCAGCAGCCCCACTACTATGGCTCTGAAGTCACCACCAAAATGCTGTGTGCTGCTGACCCACAGTGGAAAACAGATGCTTGCCAGGTGAGGGTTCTAAGCATCTCTCTCCATTACGCCAAAATCTCTCCAGGGCTCCTGGGCATTCTCTGCCCTCTTTGGGGAGCCTCTCTCCAGCCAAAGCCTCAAGAAGCCAGAATCAGGAGCTCAAGTTTTAGAAGGTTTAAACCAACCCTTCTGCCTTTTCCAAACATTTGTCCTCAGCCTGTCTCTGTGCTAGGCCCTTCCGACCGGGGGAGAGAGGAAGCCTAAGAAAAAACAATAGAAAGTAATATAGCTCAGCGTTCAGGGTGTGGTGTGAATTATAAACGATAGTTTATAGGAGAGGGAGGTGAGTGCCCACTAGCTGGTCACAGAGGGGGAGCTTTAAAGAGAAGGTGACTTTTTAAAGGAATATGAGGAGGCAGAGGGAAGAAAGGAGAGTGTTTCGGTTGCAAGGTACAAAAATGAAGTTGAGGACGGCATATTCCAGGATGGGAGGAGAGGTGGGGTCTGAGAATGGAGGTGGCATAGTGGCAGATAGTAGGGCTTTGGAAGCCGCGCCGAGGATTTTGAGCGTGATGTGGTAGGAGATAGGGAGCCATTAAGGACTTTGACTCTGGGAAACTCTCCCTTCTCTCTCCGGCATGATTGGGCAGCAGGACGCGATGGCCCCCTCCTAACTTTTTCCAGGGTTCACCTTTTGTGTCTTTGGCTTAACAGGGAGACTCAGGGGGACCCCTGGTCTGTTCCATTGGAAACCGCGAGACTCTGACTGGGATCGTGAGCTGGGGCCGTGAATGTGCCATGAAGGACAAGCCAGGTGTCTACACGAGGGTCTCACGCTTCCTATCTTGGATCCACACTCACACCCGGGAAGACCTAGCCCTCTGAGGGCCCCCCAGGGAGCCAAGGGAGGAGAGGGGCACTACCCACTCCCACACTGACCGTCATTTTTGCAGTGAGTCCGTCTGCACCAGCTATATATAGGGAAGAGACTGAGGAAGATAGGCTCCGCAGAGATGGTTTTGCTTGTGCTGCCCACCAGGGTGTGCAACGATAGCTTTACTCTCAGATACAGGCCTGGGTGCTGGCCACCCAGATCCCCTCTGGCCAGGATGGAGGGGTGGTCCTGATCCAGGATGGTACTGACCAGTAGTTTGTCTTTTTCTGGATTAAAGCCTTCTGGAGATAAAAATGACATCTATGCATGGGAAGGAGAGGTAGCTCCCCCAACAGTGGGCATTCATGAGGCCTATTATTGGGAAATGAATCATTTCCCAATTAGGAAGTGTAACAGAACTGAGGTCTCTTGAAGGAGCTTGGCCAATGTGGGAACAGTAGTTTGGGGACCAGGGACACTAATAACTTGAAGGTAGGGCTCTGACACTGTATGAATATATCAGGAAATATTGTACATGCAGGTGTATGTTTGTACAATTGTGCCCAGGCTGTGAGTAGTCAGAGTAAGAGCTGGTATTCCTGTGTCTAACTGTAAGTCTAGATATTTCCCTAAACTCTATGGACTGTGATGCCACATAGAATGGTCTGTCAGGAGAGGTCATGAGTCACTGTTGGGGCTTTTTGGTCTCCCATGTAATGGTGCCTATGAATATATCATTCTGGGGCATAGCTCATGGCCAGCGTTAAAATTTGAGTTTCACTTTCACATAAATGTCCCTTTCTTGGACAGTTATCCCTTCTGACCTTCCAGCCAAGTTCATCCGATCCTCACTGAGTGGGGCAAGGACCACTCATGTACACTGAATATTTAATAATTATATTCTGCTATTTTTATTTATGTCTATTTTTGTAATTTTGAATAAAGATGATTAATAAAATATGATTTTTTTCGGAAGACTTTCTTTCTTCCCTGGTGCTTGTATGGGAGGGAGTTAGGGGGGCATAAAAAGTAGAAAATGACCATGGTGGGATGCATGCATCTTGTCAGGCTGCATCTCTCAACTTACTGGGGCTTTGGGAAGTAGAGGCTAGGAGAGTTGTAGGTCAGGCCCTCCGCACCACATAAGGCACAAAATGTGCTGTAAGCCAGGGGCCTATGGCTAGGTGAATGGTGTGAAGGCTGGGTGTCAACCCCCAGCTCCCCCAGCCTGATGCTTTTGTGCAGTGCACATCTTATGTAACTGCATGGTGACCCTCTTTAGTATTAGTCTCATTATATTCTCTTCACTCTGCCCCCACCAATCCTTGGGCTGACTTCAACCAGGGAGAACACCGGTATGAATGAAAATTGTTAATCTGCATCCAGGGATCAGAAAACAACTGCCCATTATCTGTGTGGGGCTGGTGCTGTTTTCTCACTAGGTTAATGGAGCTTGTGTCCTGCCATTGCCATCCCTAAGATCAGGTGGCTTAGAATCTGAAGCTGGTTGATACCTTAACAGAGGTGAGCTTATATTTTGAACCAAAATCAGTTTCTGAAGAATAGGAGTTTGGAAGGTAAGCTAAGAAATATAGTTGGATGCCAAACTATTGGAATTTCCAAGCTACGCTAATGGGTCTTGGCAGTGTTTCTTACCAAGGCACCTGAGAACCTTTTAAAAATATACATGCCTATGCTCCACCCACAGAGATTGAAGCAGGTCAGGGCTGGTGCCAGGCTTCAAGGGTTTGGAAAACTCAGGTGTTTCTGATAAGCACCTGATTGAGTATCTTTTGAGAACAATTGGACAGATTATGTGAAGTGCCCAGTAAATTCAAATGTGGTCAGCATGTGTTCTCTGCATGAACAGTTTTCTGAGTGGGGTTTAGGGGTGCAAGGTCTCCTGGGCTCCCTAGACTGTAGGTCCCCAGGGAGGGCAAGGACCCAAAGTATTCAGTTTTTGTTGTTTGGGTTATGTTGTTGTTTGGGGATTTTTTTTGAAAGTTGGCTGATACCTTTATTGCTTTGGGGGGAGAGGGGTTCTCAGGAGCTCTTGGTAGGGCTGCCTGTTTCCTCTTCACCATCTCTGGCTTCTGGCTGCTCAGGGTGGCACTGGCCCTGCGGATGGCAGCGCAGCAGATCCAGGCAGTACTTTTTCCTGCAGATCATGTGCCAGGTGCTGTTCAGGGTGGCCCAGGCATTCTTGTTGATGATGGTCTGCACCTAGGAGGTGGCTGGCTTTCGCTGCCTGGATCTCTGCACCTTCTTGACAACCAACACACCTTTGCCGCAGGCTCCATGGCCCCGTCTTGCGGTGAATCACCCCGTTGTACCGAAAGGAGTTGGGGCCTTCAGATGATTGGGTTCGGTGCTGTATGTCTGCCTTTCCCTCTAGATGAGGAAGCTGGAGCAGTTCCATAGGTGGGCGGACTTGGCGGCAGCTCCTCTTGCTGGGGCAGCCAGAGACAGAAAGAGCCCAAATATTCAGTTTTTAATCCCCATAATCTAGCATGTTGTCATATTCAGTAAAATGCAGTGGTTTCAGAGCATGCAGGAGTCAGGTGGCCTGGACTAGAATCCTGGCTCTAATATTAGCTGTGCAACTTGGGAAGGACTCATAACCTCTCTGTGTCTCTGTTTCCTCATCTGTAAAAGATATAATAATATCTAGTTTCCAGGATTATTACAAGGATTCATGAGTTCATAAACCTCTCAGTGTAATCCTGGCACCTAGTAAAGGCACAAAAATTGGGGGCTATTCTTACAAAGCCATGTAAATTCCTGTAGAGTTGAAGGGAACCCCCTCCCCTCTTCTACCCCTGGTGTGCATTGGTGTGTTTGGTGTGAGCTGAAACTCGCTAGGAAAAAAGAGGCATGATGTGAAGCGAAGGGGCCCAGCCCAGGCTGAGCTGCTGCTTCACCTCCTTTCCCCCCAGGGGCCAAGAGGATCCTGTCCCAACATGAGCGGCTCTAGCATCAGGGCTCACAGTCACCCTAAAAACAGGAAGTATGAGCTCCACTGGTCAGGTTGAGCAACGACGCTGCTCTCTTCAGACCATTTCCCAGCCACCACCCGACCCCCTGCCAGCTGCGGCCTCTTCTCTGAATTGTAGGTGTCAGTTGGGGCTGGCAGAGATCGGCCACTTCTCCAGAGTCTCATGGCTCCGGATACTATCCTGTCACCTTAGGGACTGCCTTCATTTGGTGCTCACCATGCACTGGACACTACTAAGTTGTTCACATTCTTATCTGGTTTAATCCTCCCAAAAATCCTAGGAGAAAGTTATTATCATTAGCCCCATTTTACAGTAGGGAAAATGGAGGCACAGAGAGATTGAGTGACTTGCTCAAGGCAATGCAGCTGGTAGGTGGCAGAGCCAGGGTTTGGACCCAGGCAGCTGGCTCCAGGCCGCACAGGCCTACCACTGTGACATATGACCTTTCAGCGGGGCCCAACTGAGGAAAGGAGAGCTGCCCTCTCAGGGCCCTACTTCAAGGATGCTGGGTGTCCAGGGTAAGTGTATCAGAATTTCAACCCCTACCTAGATTATAGCTCTGTCCTCTTAAAACATTCCCAGGCCAAGTGAGGAGACCCCACTCAGCCACCAGTTTCAAAGTAAAACCACCTTCTCAAGGTAACCTCAGCCTTTTTTGTTGAAACCTGATTTCATTGAAGTGGTTTCCGTTTTCACCAGAACTCCTCGTTCTGAAATATTCTGTGGCCCATTCTATTATCAAGACAGAACTTGATTTCCACTTATAGTCTGCTTTCCTCAAACCAACCCCCCACAACAACCACACCCCTACAGGTATCCCTCCAAACTCATCCCCTAGTGTATCCACTTTCTTGCCTAGCAGAAAACATTTGGATCAGACACAGTGAGAGCTGTTGCTGAGCTGTTTTTAAAATAACAGTATTGCCCTGGCTGGTGCGGCTCATTTGGTCGGGCATCGTCCAACTGCCAGTTCGATTCCCAGGCAGGGGGCACGCACCAGGGTTTTGAGCTCAATCCCTGGTAGGGGGCCTGCAGGACGCAGCTGATCGATGTTTCACTCTCACATCAGTGTTTCTCTTTCTCTCCTTCTCCCTTCCTCTCTCTAAAAATCAATTAAAAAATCTTAAAAAAGAACAGTATTATTGAGATATAATACACGTACCATAACATTCACCCATTTAAAGTGTACAGCTCAATGACTTCTAGTACATTCACAGAGCTGTGCAACACTCACCACAATAAGTTTTAAGACATTTCATCATCTCAAAAAAAAAAAAGAATACCCCTTAGCAGTCACTCTCTTTTCCTCCTCAGTCTCCTCAGCCCCTAATCTACTCTCTGTAGCTCTAGGTTTGCCTCTTCTGGACATTTCATATACATAGGCTCATATAATATGTGTTTTTTGTGTGACTGATTTCTTTTACTTCCCATAATGGTTTCCAGTTTCATCTATGTTGTAGCATGTATCATGTGGTTGCTGAGTTTTAAGTAGCAAATTGGGAGAAAAGATAGCCTCGCCCCCCCCCCCTTTCTGACCTTGAAGTCCCTCTGAGATTCATTCAACAACCCTTAAAAAATTTAAGGACCGAGATACCAGGCACCCTTTTAGCTGCTGGGGATACAAAAATGAATGGGACATAGTCCTAGTTCTCAAGGAGCTCACAACTTTGTGAAGGAGACAGAACCATGACCATAATCCAATGTGGTAAGTGTTATAATAAAAGTATGTATCCCTGGCCAAGTAGCTCAGCTGGTTAGAGCTTTGTTCCAATACACAAAGGTTGCGGGTTCAGTTCTCGTCAGGGCACAAGCAAGAATCAAGTAATGAATGCATAAATAAGTGGAACAACAAATTGCTGTTTCTCCCTTTCTCCCTTCCTCTCTCTTAAAAAGAAAAAAGAGGGGGAAAGCATCGCCCTGCCCGGGGTGGCTCAGTTGGTTGAGCATTGTGTGTAGGAGGGAGTCAACTGATGTTTCTCCCTCTCCCTTCCTCTATCTCTAAAATCAATAAAAACATATATATGTATTTTTCTAAATGTATGTATAAAGTGCATGGAATGATGATGAGGAAGCAATGAGTTTTGCCTTGGAAAGTCAAGGAGGACTTTACAGAGGAGGTGATATTTTACCTTGGGCTTCAAAGATGCAAAGAGATTTACCCAATAAGGAGAAGAAAGGCATTCTAGGCATAGGGAGGATCATGAAGGCATGAAAACGCATGGTGTTCACAGGAAATGATGAATAAACAGCTGTTATAGATAAAAGTTTTGGGGGGGGGCAATGAGCAGGCAGAGACTGGGGTTGGGGGAGTTGCTGGTGGGGTCCAGCTGGTAAGGACCCTTAGGCAGGACTGATATTCAGCAGTAGGCATCAGTACTACTCAGTCACTAAAAGCTGCTGTCTCAAGATCCCCTCCATGCTGTCCCCTGCCACTCAGCTTCTCTGCACTTATTCAGGATCCAGCAGACAGAGAGTTAAATGCCTGGCAGAGGGCCCCTGGCAGGGCCTCTGAGGCCCTTCCTCAGCTTTCATCAAAGTGTTGGTACTCTGGAGTCCCGCTAGTTAAATATTTAGAATATCACCTCTTACCCTCAGGTACTAATTTCAAAATCTAGAAAGGTGATTGACGTCAAGGAGTCAAAAAACGTGTTGTTGTTTTTTTCCTTAACTAAAAATTTCCACCCCATCATAAAAGTAACTATAGTGAAGTGCTTCCACCCCTGGCTGCTGTGGCTCAGTTGGCTGGGCATTGTCCTGTGCGCTGAAAGGTTCCTGGTCGGTTCCCAGTCAGGGCACATGCCCAGGTTTCGGGCTCGATCCCCAGTGTGGGGCGTGCAGGAGGCCGCCGATCCATGTTTCACCCTCACGTAGATGTTTCTCTCCCTCTCTTTTCCTCTCTCCCTAAAAACCAATTAAAAAAAAAAAAAGTAAAATGCTTCCATAGCATTCAAAGCCATTGTCAACACTTTCGGTGTCTTGGGTCTCCTTTGCAATCTCAACCTCCTCTACTTGACTCTGAATATTGA